ATTTATAATAGTTAATTTCAAAAAATGGTCTACTTTTATTTTATTCATTATCACAATGCATTATAAGTGGGTTTTAAAATATTTCCCCTCCATATATACATACATATATAGTGACAAGGGACTCCGCTCGAAATCTCCTAAAAAAGAGACAAATTCCTTTTTTCGCGCCGAAATTAATTCAGAACGAAATTTTATCTGAGACAGCTAAGCGTACGTTTATCGACTGAACACTGCAAAAACCGAGCAGCTTCGGCTACATTCGTACATTTCTTTTCAAGCGCTTAACTATTTTCATAGTTTTATAGAACTAGTNATTGATACAAATGAAGCATTCTTGCTTCAGTCCACTTTTAGTACAAATTGATTTTGTACAGTTGCGCGCTTTAAGTGCGATCACTCTAAAYACAAAGAAAGCTACAAAATTTGGTTAATTGTTTTTCAAAAATAAAAAAGCATTTCAAACATGAAAAAAGTATTTTAATTCACAGGAAAAGCGAATGAAAAAGCTACTTTTTATATCGTAATTTTTTTGTTATTGTTTTTGTTGTTGCGAGTCACTTTAAAAAGTTACTATCTATTTTTTGTGTGGTTTGCTCAGCAAAATGAGTTTTCAACTGAAATAGTTGACACCAGCTAAGTATTGAATAAGTGTCTAAGAAAATTCTACTATCCGCCAGAAAAAGAACGGTGAATTTTACAACAAAGACACACTTACCTCAATTCGCTGTGCCATTGCGATTTCTGTGCGATAAAAACAAATAACCATTCTCCATCATTAGTAGCCCTCAATTCACAGAAGCAAACAAAGCCTTTAATTTCTTTTTAAAAGACCTCAGCAATACAAGAAAAATACGTCCGACTCGACACAAAWCGCCGCTTACAAGAGAGGCAATCGTCAAGTTGTATGATGCCGGCGAGCTAGTTGACAGCCAAACATCCGACCCAGCGAAACTCCAACAAACTGCTTGGTTTTTCATTACTTTATACTTTGGGCGTCGTGGACGAGAAAAACAGAGGCAGCTGGACCAGAATTCATTCAAGCTTTGCTAAATGCCAGATTCTGGCATTGAATACTTCGAGATAAACAAAGTAGCTGTTGGAAGCGTTCTTGCTACTAAAAATCACCCAAGGCGGTTTAGACGGCTCAGAGGACCCTTCCAATGGCAAAATGTTTGCAAATAAAGATTCTCCCCGCTGTCCAGTGGCTGTACTTAAGTGGTTTTTGTCCCATTTAAACCCTTCATGCTCGCCCGTCATTGTTCCAGACCTTTGACAGGCTTGAGTTCAAACTCATTGAAGCCCACAGGGAGCCCAAGCAATGGCTTTGAATTTATAATAGTTAATTTCAAAAAATGGTCTGCTTTTATTTTATTCATTATCACAATGCATTATAAGTGGGTTTTAAAATATTTCCCCTCCATATATACATATATAGACAAGGGAGGAGACTCCGATCGAAATCTCCTAAAAAAGAGACAAATGCGATCGACAAAAATCCTTTTTTTCGCGCCGAAATTAATTCAGAACGAAATTTTATCGGAGACAGCGTACGTTTATCGACTGAACGCTGCAAAAACCGAGCAGCTTCGGCTACATTCGTACATTTCTTTTCAAGCGCTTAACTATTTTCATAGTTTTATAGAACTAGTTAACAGTTAACTATCATGCTGTTTAAAAAAAGATCTATTGAGATCGTTGATT